GCCTGAGGCCGGAACGCTGAGTCCCTGACTCCCTGAGTCCAGGGGCCTAGGGGTCCTTTGCTGTGAAACTTGGCAAAACGTGGTATTTTTGTTGGCAAACTATGGGAACCCGATAAAGCTGCAATGAAACCTCTACTTTTGCAAAGGAAACTTCGAACGGACAACATTTTTGCTGCCAAACTTCGAAACAGCAATATTTTTGAAATTAACCCTTGATTGATTGATTGCTACGAAAAAAAAAAGAAAAAGTGCGTGAACGCGCGCACGTGTGTGTGTGTGTGTGTGTGTGTGTGTGTGTGTGTGTGTGTGTGTGTGTGTGTGTGTGTAATAATGCATACGCAACCATAGCAACCCATGTACGGGGATCTCCATTTAGCAAGGAGTGCAATTTGATCCAACACATGGTGGAGGGGACATTCCTTGAGCTCATAGTGTCGTGACCACCAACCGTGCAAAAGAAAGATGATAGCATATAAAGAGAGACAGGTGGGAAGATAGAAAAGGATGAGGGAGCATGATGGGCAATGCCATCAAACACTAGCAGTATTGCTAGTGGAGGAGGGGTGGCGCATCCCCTAAAGCGCTTTTCGCCGCTTGCGCCGGTCACGACTCATCAGAGGGTGATATACCTCAGGCTCCATGAGAAGAAGAGAGGAGGAAAGGGTAGTGTGGAGAGCACAAACAGAAGGAGAAAAGCAACTTACTGAGTGCTCATTGAGGTCGGCTTCAGCAAGGAGCTCGTCAATGGCTGCCATCTCYGCCTGCCACCTCTTGGATCAGCCGCCCAAGCGTGATCGCAGTGCAGTAGCCGTTGTGATACTACCGATCAGGCAGGGACACTGTCTCTCCACAGAATTGAGCTTAAGGAGGGAAAAGAGCGACCACCTTTCTCAGGTAGCTATGGCGAATGAATCGCAATCGTGCATAGCACCAAGGCTGTGGTCTGGTAGAGTGAGGGAGTAGAGGAAGAGCAAGCACTGCACAAGTCGCCAACAGTGGGAGGCGCAGACAGAGAGAGATTTGTTCTCCCATTGGCCAACATATAAATGACAGGGGGAGGGGATAGGCGAGAGGGCG